CTTCCTCCCTTCCTTCCTTCCTTCCTTCTCTCCTTTTTTAATGACTATCTAAATATTTGTGACAGGAAGACAAAGTATAACTAACGTGAATCTGTAATAGAGCACAAAGCACATGTGCCCATCCTCATTAGAGTTTTTAAAAATTTCCTTTCTGCACCCAGAATGCATTTTGTCTCAGTTGCCCCTCTGCAGGGAACTCCACAAGGCAGCAGCTAAGTGACATCCATCATTGTTCCCTGAGAATCAAGGAGAGAAATAAATGGACAGTGTGTTATCCCTGGAAGGATATTCATTTGAGGGAAAAAAAAAGTAGTGACCAAATATGAAATTAACTTATGTGAATTATTAATGACTAACTTTGAAGTTAGAAAGATAGTTCAGATTTTCTCTAGGAAAAATTTTTTCTATTTTAACATTTGAGTTGTGTTTAAAAACATTTGTATAAAATAAATCTTTCAGAGTTGAAAGATCTTGGTTTTGCTCTATCCTGAGACAGGTGAAGGAGATACACTGGGGACTGCCCCAGATATAATTGCCTAGAATTCTCATTGTTAAGTTCAACACCGAGGACAGGCGGAAATAGGCATCCTAATTTAAAATATTGAAAATGTCTAATTTAAAGTGTTCTAAAAATATATTTATCATGTGCCTATTGATATGTTGGTGCCATTAGGAGGCAGGATCATTTATAACAGAAACCACCTAAGTTTTGTAACTCAAATAATTTTCTTGATTAAAAAATAAATATTCTTAGAATGTGTAAGTGATTTTCTTTTTCAAATTGGAAGCTCATAGGACTATTGGTGCATTAATTCAACGGATGACTTTTGGATCCATAAAATATTTGGTGTAATAAATATAAGCACTTTACTTGGGTAATAATTTAACATTTGGTGTTCACATTACATGTCACCACAAGGAAAAACTTGGAAGCATAATGACTTAGCTATGTCAGTACACTCTTCCCCATCTCACCACAGCTTGGAGCAGAGAACAATATTTCACTTATGAGGGTTGTTGAATCCTTCACATTCCAAGTAGCCCCTGCATTCTAAACGTAGGACAGACACACATCCTCCATGTGTAGCAAAAGCTGTCATGTACTTAGAAATCGTTGTGAAAAAGAATTTGAGGGATTTTAGATCAGCGATTCTAGAAGTGTGGTCTAATTAGACTCTTCCGAGTGGTTTGCTAAAAAATGTACATTCCTTGAGTCCAGACCCATGGAATTATAATGTTTGGGGTGACGGAGCCCAGAAATCTGCATTTGAGCAAATTTTCCATCTTCTTAATATAGATATTGCCCTTAGAGAACTATATCTGAGCTGCAGGAAGGACACATCTAAAAAGATCCCAGTCACTTACGCTATTGAAACAGAGGGCAAAGCGATCATTTCAGGAAGCCCACACTTGCCCAACCTCAGATTTATTATTTAAGGGAAATAAGCTTTAGCTTTATCTTAGAGCCAAATTGCCCATGGTGGAATTTTGCTCAGGAAAAAGTTATGTCCAGAAAAGAGAAATGCTCTCTACCTTAATCTCACTTCCCTTCGGTACCAGAGGGTGTCCAGGTTTTGGGCTCTGAAATCTCTGCCATGACTCTCAGGGAGTCCAGGAGCAAACAGATTCCTGAGCTGATCTGACAACTCCCTCCCCCTCCACACCTCACCTGTGTGAAAGTGTGCTCCAATACAACAGTCAAAATACATGCACATTTTTGAAACCTAATAATTTTTGGCCTATTCATATTTAGATATTGACAAAAGTTTATTATTTCTACATCTGCAATAATTATATTTATTATTTTTTCAAAGATTTGGTAGAT